TAGACCAGCCAAGCCACGTGCACTTAGATTGCGTATGCGCAACCCGTACACCGTCGGCAAGTGATCCAGTCAGTTCGCACTGATTTCCGAGGACTCGACGGCGTGGTCAAGACTTGAGGAGCTTGACCCGCTCACGAGAGAGGACTTCGCTTGGATGCCTCTACCCTCGATCGGAACCTTGCCAAGGCCGCATTGCAACGCCTTGATGGCAACTCTACGCTCCTATTTGCACGCTACAGTACCAGCTCCATTGACGGACGACGGAGTAGCGGTTGTCGATCTCTGCTCCTATCTTGCGAAGATTGACCGCGAGTACGCCACCCAAAGGTACGCCGAAACCGACGCACCTTTGCTCTATATCCGCATTCAAATCGGAAAGGCAACCTGTAGTGCCTTGATTGATTGCGGAGCGTCTCGCAACTTTATGAGCCAAGCCTTTATGGCCCGCGCAGGTCTTGGCCCGCGCGTTCGAAGGAAGACGCAACCTACGCAAGTTACACTCGCGGACGGCCGCACGCAAAAGTCAATTGACCGATGCGTTGACGGCGTTCCGGTCTACTTTGCGCCACTTGCGTGCGAGCCGGTGTCTTTTGACATCCTCGACACCAAGTTCGACATGATTCTAGGCATGTCTTGGTTGCGTAGCGCCGATCATCCGGTGAACTTCCATGACCGAACCGTTCACATCCGTGATCGGAACTGAGTGTTAGTCCCATGTACGGTCGCGACCCCTCACACTTCGATTGCTTGTCACGTGGTTTCCGTTGCGAGAATTCACGACGCGATGGCTCGGAATGACGTCGAGGAGATGGGCCTTGTATTCTTGCATGCTCTCCTCTGGCCGGACGGACCAGCCGCGTCACCGCCGGACCCACGCATCACTCACCTCTTGGACGAGTATGGAGACGTCTTCGAGGCGCCCATCGGAACGGTTCCGGATCGGCCCATACATCACGGGATCACTCTCGAGGCGGGCGCCGTCCCTTCGTGTGGATGTATCTACCGCATGAGCGAAGAGGAACTCGAGGTGCTTCGCGCACAACTCGATGACCTTCTCGACAAGGGCTGGATTCGCCCTAGTTGCTCGCCATGCGGAGCACCTGTTCTCTTCGTCCGGAAGAAGAACAAAGATCTACGGTTATGCATCGACTATCACAAACTTAACGCACAAACCGTAAAGGACGCCGGCCCTCTCCCTCGGATTGATGATCTCCTTGAGCGGTTAGGCAGCGCAACGTACTTCTCGAAGTTGGACTTGAAGTCAGGTTACCACCAGATTGAAATCCAGCCTCAAGATCGGTACAAGGCCGCATTCAAGACGCGGTACGGGCATTTTGAGTGGGTTGTCATGCCTTTTGGCCTCACCAATGCCCCCGCAACTTTTCAAGCAGCTATGACGACTGAGTTTCGCGACTTGCTCGATCTCAGCGTCCTCATCTACCTCGATGACATCTTGGTCTATAACATTGGACGAGCACATCACACACCTTCACGCTGTTTTGAATCGTTTGCGACTGGCCAAGTCCAAAGCGAACCGCGACAAGTGCGAGTTCGCCAAGCAAGAGCTTGAGTATATGGGCCACTATGTTACGCCGAAAGGCATTCATCCCTTAGCGGACAAGATCCAAGCCATCGTGGATTGGCCGGAACCCCGTTGCACGACGGACGTACGCTCTTTCATGGGATTGGCTGGATATTATCAGCGATTCGTCGAGTCATACTCGAAAGTGGCCGCTCCTTTGTCGAGACTTCAGTCCCCGAAGGTGCCCTTCGAGTTCGACGACGCAGCCCGTGGCGCGTTCACTACGTTGAAGGTAGCGATGCAAGCCGCACCTGCCCTCCGTATATACGACCCCACCCTACCCACCCGAGTGACTACGGACGCTTCGGGATACGGTATTGGTGCGGTGTTGGAACAGTGTCACGAGGACGGTTGGCATCCGGTCGAGTATATCTCCCAAAAGGTGCCTCTCGTAAACACTCTCGACGACGCTAGGAAGAAAGAGCTACTCGCGTTCGTCACCGTTCTCAAACGGTGACGCCACTTTCTTCTCGGCCGTCGGCGTTTTAAATGGAATACGGACAACAATCTGTTGACGTTTTACAAAACGCAGGATACGGTCACTAGTACGATCGGTCGATGGATGTATTACATCGACCAGTTCGA